CCTTTTTCTTTTTCTCTCTTTCACTAAAAAGAAAATGGTTGGGACTCGCAGGAATCAGGGATCAGATGACAATGGTACTGGTAGGGAGGAATGGATGGAGGAACAGTGGAAAAGGATAGAGCAAGAATGGGAGAGAAAATTAGGAGAGCTTTCTGAAAAAAATGGAGAAAGAGCTCTCTGCGAAATGGGAAAAGAGGTTGGAGAAGGAGATGAAGAATTGGGAGGCACAAGTCGAAACTGTAGTAGCCAGGGTAAAGATCTTAGAATTTGAGGTAAACAGGCTGAAGCAAGTCTCAGGGGTAGTGACCAGAGAAGACACACCATACGAAGATGAGAGGCTGAACAGGAAGGAAGGAGATATGAATTATGCTAAGGTCATATCAGCCTGCAAAGAAGGGCCAGGGAGTGGAAGGGAAGAGCAGATGGGTGCAGATGGAGAGGGAGATAGGTCGAATGCTGAGGCACAACCATACTACCAAGATCCACTGGAAAAATCAAGGGAGAAAATGACCACTTACAGACAGAAACCAGAGTCACAGAGGGAGAGGCAGTGGGAGGAGGAAAGGGCAAAATCAGTGATTATCCATGGGCTTCGGGAGAGAGAGGAAAGGACACACACTGAAAGACGGCAGGAAGAAAGAAAGATTGAGAAAATCATCACGGAAATAGGGGGAGAAGACATGGATGAGATTGTAAATTTTCAGAGAATAGGGGGGTACGTGAAGGGGAGAAACCGACCGATCAAGCTGATTCTCAGGACAGAAACAGTGCGGAACAGGATCCTCCAAGAGAAACCACGGTTGAAAAGCTCGGAAGAGTACAAGAAGATGTTCCTAGACAGAGACAGAACACAAACAGAGAGACAGCAGCTGAGGGAGAGGACAAAAAAGCGAAAGGAGCTAGGAAAGGAGACAAGGGTGGAACCAGCAGAGGTCAGTCAGAGCAGAACAGAGCAGCAAGGGCAAGCACACACACAACTATCCTCAGAACCCCACAACCTATCACACCATCCCAACACCCAATACAATCCATACCCACAGCTTCCACCCAACCCCCAATCATAGAATCCCACAGTATGCTACCAGGTCTCCCACCCCCACAGGCCCCCCAAACCACAGTGTTGGAAAGGAAACTGAAGGTATGGTACACAAACGCTGATGGAATAACAAACAAGTGGGAGGAGTGGCACGAAAGAGTCAAAGAGGCATCACCAGACATCATAGCAATCACAGAAACCAAGCTTACAGGTATGATAACAGATGCCATCTTTCCAGCGGGATACCAGATCCTGAGAAAAGACAGAAGGAACAGGGGGGGGTTGAGGAGTGGCATTGCTGATCAAACACCGATGGAATTTTGATGAGCTGGAGAGAGGAGACAGCGGAGAAGAAAGTGATTACATAGCGGGAACGCTTCACTCTGGTGGTCCCAAGGTGATAATTGCAGTGATGTATAACCCACCACAGAACAGCAGGAGGCCAAGGCAAGAGTATGATGAGAGCAATAGAGCGATGGTTGACACACTGGCTGCAGTGGCCAGAAGAGCTCATGCATGCAGGGCAAAGCTCCTGATCATGGGCGACTTTAACCACAAGGAGATCGAATGGGAGAACTTGGAGCCACATGGGGGCCAAGATACATGGAGGGCTAAGATGATGGAGGTGGTACTGGAAAACTTCATGTACCAACACGTAAGGGACACTACAAGAGAGAGGAGAGGATGAACCAGCAAGACTGGACTTAGTATTCACCTTGAGTAGTGCAGATATTGAGGACATCACATATGAAAGACCCTTGGGGCCAGCGATCATGTGGTTTTGAGCTTCGAATACACAGTAGAGCTACAAGTGGAGGGGGAAGCAGGAAGGCCAGGACAAATGAAACCAAACTACAGGAAAGGGGACTACACAGGAATGAGGAACTTCCTGAATGAGGCTCAGTGGGACAGAGAACTGGCAGGGAAGCCAGTTAATGAGATGATGGAATATGTAGCGACAATGTGCAAGGAGGCTGAGGAGAGGTTTGTACCCAAGGGTAACAGGAATAATGAAAAAGCCAGGATGAGCCCATGGTTCACCCAAAGATGCAAGGAGCAAAAACCAAGTGTGCTAGGGAATGGAAGAAATATAGAAGGCAAAGGACCCAGGAGAATAAGGAGAGCAGTCGTAGAGCCAGAAACGAATATGCACAGATAAGAAGGGAGGCCCAACGTCAATATGAAAACGACATAGCAGCAAAAGCCAAATCTGACCCGAAGCTGTTATACAGCCACATCAGGAAGAAAACAACCGTCAAGGACCAGGTAATCAGGCTAAGGAAGGAAGGAGGAGAGACAACAAGAAATGACCGTGAAGTATGTGAGGAACTCAACAAGAGATTCAAAGAAGTGTTCACAGAGGAGACAGAAGGGGCTCCAGAAAGACGGAGAGGTGGGGCACACCACCATGTGCTGGACACAGTACACACAACCGAGGAAGAAGTGAAGAGGCTTCTGAGCGAGCTAGATACCTCAAAGGCAATGGGGCTAGATAACATCTCTCCATGGGTCCTGAGAGAGGGAGCAGAGGCGCTATGTGTACCCCTAACAACAATATTCAATACATCTATCGAAACAGGGAGATTGCCTGAGGCATGGAAGACAGCAAATGTGGTCCCAATCTTTAAAAAAGAAGACAGACATGAAGCATTAAACTACAGACCAGTGTCACTGACATGTATAGCATGCAAAATCATGGAAAAGATTGTCAGGAGAAGAATGGTGGAACATCTAGAAAGGAATGATCTCATCACCAGCAGCCAACATGGTTTCAGAGACGGGAAATCCTGTGTCACAAACCTACTGGAGTTCTATGACATGGTGAGTAAGACAAGAGAGAGAGGGGTGGGTGGATTGCATTTTCTTGGACTGCAAGAAGGCGTTTGACACAGTTCCACACAAGAGATTAGTGCAAAAACTGGAGGACCAAGCAGGGATAACAGGGAAGGCACTGCAATGGATCAGGGAATACTTGTCAGGAAGACAGCAGCGAGTAATGGTACGTGGCGAGGTGTCAGAGTGGGCACCTGTGACCAGCAGGGTCCCACAGGGGTCAGTCCTAGAACCAGTGCTGTTTCTGGTATTTGTGAACGACATGACGGAAGGAATAAACTCCGAGGTGTCCCTGTTTGCAGATGACGTGAAGTTGATGAGAAGAGTTCATTCAATCGAAGTCCAGGCAGAAATACAAAGGGATCTGGACAGGCTGCAGACCTGGTCCAGCAACTGGCTCCTGGAGTTCAATCCCACCAAGTGCAAAGTCATGAGGATTGGGAAGGGCAAAGAAGACCGCAGACGGAGTACAGTCTAGGGGGCCAGAGACTACAAACATCACTCAAGGAAAAAGATCTTGGGGTGAGTATAACGCCAGGCACATCTCCTGAAGCGCACATCAACCAAATAACTGCCGCAGCATATGGGCGCCTGGCAAACCTCAGAACAGCATTCCAACATCTTAATAAGGAATCGTTCAGGACCCTGTACACCGTGTACGTTAGGCCCATATTGGAGTATGCGGCACCAGTTTGGAACCCACACCTAGTCAAGCATGTAAAGAAACTACAGAAAGTGCAAAGGTTTGCAACAAGACTAGTCCCAGAGTTAAGAGGTATGTCCTATGAGGAGAGGTTAAGGGAAATCAACCTGACGACACTGGAGGACAGGAGAGATAGAGGGGACATGATAACGACTTACAAAATACTGAGAGGAATTGACAAGGTGGACAAAGACAGGATGTTCCAGAGACTGGACACAGTAACAAGGGGACACAGTTGGAAGCTGAAGACACAGATGAATCAAAGGGATGTTAGGAAGTATTTCTTCAGCCACAGAGTAGTCAGGAAGTGGAATAGTTTGGGAAGCGATGTAGTGGAGGCAGGATCCATACATAGCTTTAAGCAGAGGTACGATAAAGCTCATGGTTCAGGGAGAGTGACCTAGTAGCGACCAGTGAAGAGGCGGGGCCAGGAGCTTGGACTCGACCCCTGCAACCTCAACTAGGTGAGTACAACTAGGTGAGTACACTCTCTCTCTCTCTCTCTCTCTCTCACACACACACGGACCGTACTGAATCAGTAAAACTTGCGATTTTGGCTTAAATAGCAATGCTCTTTTTGCCAAATAAGGCAAGTGAAAATTTGTATATTGAATAATTTCACAAAAATCATTCTGAACCTAACAAAAAATATATATTTCATTGTGTTTGTTTATTATTAAATTATTGTAAACTTATCTAAAATATATATTTAGTTGGACTAGGATAAATATAATTGTGCTTGTTATAATAAGGTTAGGTAAGTTTTCTAAGGTTCTGTTGGTACAAAATTATGAATTTTTACATTAACATAAATGAAAAAATATATCTTTAAACCTATAAGAGAAAATTTTAAACGAGTTCTTGCCAATTGTCCAATTTTACCTATTCAGCATGCATGACGGGTGTATGTATATACGTGTGTATATATATGTATATATGTGTGTGTATATATATATATATATGTATGTATGTATGTATGTACACAGTTTCTGCCTTTTATATGTAGAGCACCCCATAAGATAGTCAAGATCTTGTCTTCTCATGACATTACACAGAGATAATATGAAAGATGAATGGTAGAGAGTTCCTGAGAGTGTGACCTGGCTGAACAGCTTTCAGATGCTTCCAGGTGTCTGTTGTGGCAGTCAGTGTCTAGTTTGTGCATTATGATCTGCTTTTCATTGTTAATATTAGCAGAGATATGTAGTTTAATTTTACAGTTTGCTAGTTCTTAAAAAGAACTGGCATTTCATGATATATTAGAAGTATCAATTATCTGCATAAGTAATTCAAGAATAATAATATATATATTCATTCCTTTCAAGAGCCACAGAAACTAAATCAGTTAACAAGCTTTTACATTATACCAAAATTACAAAGTAGAAATTTCTCATTGATTTGTTACTAATATACAAAATTCTTTACCAGGTGAATCAGCACGTGGAACTCCTTCCTCTGAGTATCGCCATGTGTTGGAATCCCGGACGCGACAAACGCCTGAACCTACTAAGATAAGCCAGGGATCACTCGCTGGCACACCCGTGTCCTCCATTGCATCCGAAGCAAAGTCCCATTCTCAGGAGCAACCTAAGCCTACCACTGCCACAACTCTAGAGTCTAAGGTTGATGACAAAACTGATGAAAAGAAACCAGCACCTAAACCAATTGAAGCAAAATCTCAGGAATCAGAGATCTCTGAAAGTAAGATTCCTGAAGGAAAAATCATAGATGGAGATAGTTTTAATTCTAAGTTAGATGCCAAAGCTGAAACTAAGCCTTATGATATAAAGAAAGATACTAAATTAACTGAAGTTAAAGAAGAGCCAAAACTCGCTGATTCAAAAGAACTGGAGACAAAACCATTAGAAGCTAAGGTACAAGAAACAGAACCCTTAGAATCAAAGACACCAGAGGTAAAATCAAGTGAACCTCCAGTGTCAGAACCTGCATCAGTTCTGTCTATGTTTAGTGAGCCAAAGGCATCTGAAGTTAAGGATCCTGAGCCCAAGAAGTTAGAACCAGTTACTGAATTCAAGAAAGCTGAGCCAACTCATGAAACTAAACCATTCCAGTCTCAGCCCTTACAGCAGCAGCAGCAACTTCCTCTGAGCCCACCTGCAACAAAAAAACCTTCACCCATGGACATTGTCCCTCCTTCAGGTATTTCTTGGAATGACTCTTTTGACACCTCTTCTGATGCAGATTCATCCTCTGTTCTTACTACCTCTGATTTCCAAGATGGCCCCATATCTTTACTTGCACCTAAATCCTCTATTTGTATTGAATCTGTCTCAAATAAAAATTATTCTCAGGTCTTTTCAGAATCTTTCCATAAGAATGATACTGATAGGTATTTCCAGTTACCTATGCATGAGGATAATGATGCACATTCTCCACTCTCTCTCACTGAGAATGATTCTGCTGTTCACTCACCATCTTCTCTACAGGATGATACATACTCCTCATCCTCCATAAATGGGGATGCTCATTCTTCATCTCTGCATGATTACATAAGTTCCCAATCCTCTCTGCACAATGGTGTTAATTCTTTGTCTTCTCTGCATGATACAAATTCTTCCCCTCATGAAGATGAATCCATCCAATCTTCTTTAAATGAGGATACTCATTCTTTATCTTCCATACATGATAGTGTTCAGTCCTCATTGTCCATGCAAGATAATGTACATTCCCCTTCTTCTCTAAATGATACAAGCTCTACTTCTCAAGATAGTAATTCACTTAAATCATTACATGAAGATATTCATTCTTCTTCATCATTTGATAAGGATATTCATGAGAATAACTACTCCCCAACTCAACTCACTGAAGCTCCCTTCCTCCATGATGAGACGTATTGTCCAGCAGAATTTAATAATGTCCACTCATCTGTTACTCGAGATATTTGTTCCCCACAACATGACAGTCATTCCCAGTCTGTTAACAAAGAGATTCAATCACCATCTGAAAATGAAGAGAATTGCCTTTATAAACATGAAGTTCATTTTTCACAAGTGCATGAAGATACTTCCTCACCAGTGCATGAAGAAGTTACTGCCTTGCCTGTACATGAAGTTCCTTCCTCACCAGTTTGCAAAGAAGCTGCTTTCTCACTGGTAGTCGAAGAGCTTACTTCCTCACCAAGAAATACAGGTTTCCAGTCCCCATCTCTGCAGGAAGAGCTCCAGTCCCCATCTCTACAGGGAGAGCTCCAGTCCCCATCTCTACAGGAAGAGCTCCAGTCTCCATCTCTACAGGGAGAGCTCCAGTCCCCATCTCTACAGGAAGAGCTCCAGTCCCCGTCTCTGCAGGAAGAGCTCCAGTCCTCATCTCTGCAGGAAGAGCTCCAGTCCCCATCTCTACACGAAGAGCTCCAGTCCCCATCTCTACATGAAGAGCTCCAGTCCCCATCTCTACACGAAGAGTTCCAGTTCCCATCTCTACAGGAAGATCTCCAGTCCCCATCTGTACAAGAAGAGCTCCAGTCCCCATCTCTGCAGGAAGAGCTCCAGTCCCCATCTCTGCAGGAAGAGCTCCAGTCCCCATCTCTGCAGGAAGAGCTCCAGTCCCCATCTCTGCAGGAAGAGCTCCAGTCCCCATCTCTGCAGGAAGAGCTCCAGTCCCCATCTCTACAGGAAGAGCTCCAGTCCCCATCTCTACAGGAAGAGCTCCAGTCCTCATCTCTGCAGGAAGAGCTCCAGTCCTCATCTCTGCAGGAAGAGCTCCAGTCATCATCTTTACAGGAAGAGCTCCAGTCCTCATCTCTGCAGGAAGGGCTCCAGTCCCCATCTCTACATGAAGAGCTCCAGTCCCCATCTCTACATGAAGAGCTCCAGTCCCCATCTCTGCAGGAAGAGCTCCAGTCCCCAGCTCTACAGGAAGGGCTCCAGTCCCCAGCTCTACAGGAAGGGCTCCAGTCCCCATCTCTACAGGAAGAGCTCCAGTCCACATCTCTACAGGGAGATCTCCAGTCCCCATCTCTACAAGAAGAGCTCCAGTCCCCATCTTTGCAGGAAGAGCTCCAGTCCCCAGCTCTACATGAAGGGCTCCAGTCCACATCTCTGCAGGGAGATCTCCAGTCCCCATCTCTACAAGAAGAGCTCCAGTCCCCAGCTCTACAGGAAGAGCTCCAGTCCCTATCTCTACAGGAAGAGCTCCAGTTCCCATCTCTACAGGAAGAGCTCCAGTCCACATCTCTGCAGGGAGATCTCCAGTCCCCAGATCTACAGGAAGAGCTCCAGTCCCCAGCTCTACAGGAAGAGCTCCAGTTCCCATCTCTACAGGAAGAGCTCCAGTTCCCATCTCTACAGGAAGAGCTCCAGTCCCCATCTCTACAGGAAGAGCTCCAGTCCTCAGCTCTACAAGAAGAGCTCCAGTCCCCATCTCTACAGGAAGAGCTCCAGTCCCCATCTGTACAGGAAGAGCTCCAGTCCCCATCTGTACAGGAAGAGCTCCAGTCCCCATCTCTGCAGGAAGAGCTCCAGTCCCCATCTCGGCAGGAAGAGCTCCAGTCCCCATCTCGGCAGGAAGAGCTCCAGTCCCCATCTCGGCAGGAAGAGCTCCAGTCCCCATCTCTACAGGAAGAGCTCCAGTCCCCATCTCTACAAGAAGAGCTCCAGTCCCCATCTCTACAGGAAGAGCTCCAGTCCCCATCTCTGCAGGAAGAGCTCCAGTCCCCATCTCTGCAGGAAGAGCTCCAGTTCCCATCTCTACAGGAAGAGCTCCAGTCCCCATCTCTACAGGAAGAGCTCCAGTCCCCAGCTCTACAAGAAGAGCTCCAGTTCCCATCTCTGCAGGAAGAGCTCCAGTCCCCATCTCTGCAGGAAGAGCTCCAGTCCCCATCTCTGCAGGAAGAGCTCCAGTCCCCATCTCTGCAGGAAGAGCTCCAGTCCCCATCTCTGCAGGAAGAGCTCCAGTTCCCATCTCTACAGGAAGAGCTCCAGTCCCCAGCTCTACAAGAAGAGCTCCAGTTCCCATCTCTACAGGAAGAGCTCCAGTCCCCATCTCTGCAGGAAGAGCTCCAGTCCCCATCTCTGCAGGAAGAGTTCCAGTCCCCATCTCTGCAGGAAGAGCTCCAGTCCCCATCTCTGCAGGAAGAGCTCCAGTCCCCATCTCTACAGGAAGAACTCCAGTCCCCATCTCTACAGGAAGAGCTCCATTCCTCATCTCTACAGGAAGAGCTCCAGTCCCCATCTCTACAGGAAGAGCTCCAGTCCCCATCTCTACAGGAAGAGCTCCATTCCCCATCTCTGCAGGAAGAGCTCCAGTCACCATTTCTACAGGAAGAGCTCCAGTCCCCATCTCTACAGGAAGAGCTCCAGTCTCCAGCTCTGCAGGAAGAGCTCCAGTCCCCATCTCGACAGGAAGAGCTCCAGTCCCCATCTCTACAGGAAGAGCTCCAGTCCCCATCTCTACAGGAAGAGCTCCAGTCCCCATCTCTACAGGAAGAGCTCCAGTCCCCATCTCTACAGGAAGAGCTCCAGTCCCCATCTCTACAGGAAGAGCTCCAGTCCCCAATCTCCTACAGGAAGAGCTCCAGTCCCCATCTCTACAGGAAGAGCTCCAGTCCCCATCTCTACAGGAAGAGCTCCAGTCCCCATCTCTACAGGAAGAGCTACAGTTCCGATCTCTGCACGACGAGCTCCAGTCCCCATCTCTGCACGACGAGCTCCAGTCCCCATCTCTGCACGACGAGCTCCAGTCCCCATCTCTGCACGACGAGCTCCAGTCCCCATCTCTGCAAGATGAGCTCCAGTCCCCATCTCTGGATGATGAGCTCCAGTCCCCATCTCTGCATGAAGAGCTCCAGGCCCCGTTTCTGCAAGATGAGCTCCGGTCCCCGTCTCTGCAAGAAGAGCTCCAGTCCCCATCTCTACATGAGGAGCTCCAGTCCCCATCTCTGCATGATGAGCTCCAGTCCCCATCTCAGCAAGACGAGCTCCAGTCCCCATCTCTGCATGAAGAGCTTCTTTCTCCATCTCTACAGGAAGAGGTCCAGTCCCCATCTCTGCAGGAAGAGCTCCAGTCCCCATCACTACAGGAAGAGCTCCAGTCCCCATCACTACAGGATGACCTCCAGTCCCCCTCTGTACAGGAAGAGCTCCAGTCCCCATCTCTACAGGAAGAGCTCCAGTCCCCATCTCTACAGGAAGAGCTTCAGTCCCCTTCTCTGCAAGAAGAGCTCCAGTCCCCATCTCTACAAGAAGAGCTCCAGCCCCCATCTCTGCAGGAAGAGCTTCAGTCCCCTTCTCTGCAGGAAGAGCTCCAGTCCCCATCTCTGCAGAAAGAGCTCCAGTCCCCATCTCTGCAGGAAGAGCTCCAGTCCCCATCTCTACAGGAAGATCTCCAGTCCCCATCTCTACATGAAGAGCTCCAGTCCCCATCACTGCAGGAAGAGCTCCAGTCCCAGTTGCTACAGGAAGAGCTCCAGTCCCCATCTCCACAGGAAGAGCACCAGTCTCCATATGTGTATGCAGAGCTGCAGTCCCCATCTCTGCCTGACAAGTTCCAGTTACCATCTCTTCAGGAAGGGCTCGAGTCCCCATCTGTACACAATGAACTTCAATCCCCATCTATACACAACATTATAGTACAGGAAGGCAAGAGCCACTCCATTTCAGGATTGCCTGAAGATGCTGATTCATCATCTTGTGGTGATATTCATTCACTATCTCCACAACATGAAAATTTTCCTTCCATATCTTCTCATGTTAACTATCTGTCTGTTGAACATGAAGTGCCCCACTCATCTGATTATATGATCGACACTTCATCTCTAAATGCAGACACCCGTGTACTGTCTATGCACGAGGATGCTCTTTCTCATGTTACAAATGATTCCTTATCTCTGCATGAAGAGGACTATTCCATATCAATACAGGAGAGCATAAATTTACCAGCATCTTCATTGCAGGATGCCTATTCTCCATCTATTCACACAGAGGCTAATAAACCATCGTCGCTACATGAGGATGTTTATTCCCCATCATATTCTGAAAGTACATTCTCTCCATTTTCATATCATCTTAGTAATCATTCGCCACCACTTCATGAGAGTGATTCAATTTTCAATTACCCAGCCTCTGTCCAAGAAAATGATTCTAATGATAATTCACTCTCCTCTATTACTGAGAGAGATTCCATTGACTGTGTATCACCTGATGAGAATATGTATCCCTCCTCTCTGCAAGACAATATTCAGTCCTTTGCATCCTCTCGTGATAACATTCATTCTTCCTCGCCTTTTGAGCCTGTGGACACAGAATCTCATAATACAAATGAAAACATTCCATTCTTAAATATGGATAATGAGAATGAGCTGCATATTGAAGTACAGAATGTTTCCTACCTTACAGAATTTCTCTCGGAAGTCAAACCATCTTATATATCAGAAGATGTGACCAAAAATACTAAACCATATGAGGATAATTTTGTAATAGATGAGTTGTCTGATGAACTAGGACAATCAGAATCTTTGGAAATTAAGGAGGCTGAAAAGGTGAAGTTGGAGTCATATTCTCCTGAAATAAAAACAGAAATGTTAAAATCACCTCTGCCAGATAATAAATTTGAAGAACTTGCAGATCCTGTTACAGCTGTGAAATCTCCAGTCTCTGAATTTAAATTGGTAACTGTTTTGGATGATGAGGGTATTAATGTGTATGTTGAATCGCCTGATAAATGCAGCCTGGAATATACAGATTATAATCTTGCTGAAAGACTACCAGAAAATATAAATTATGATCTTGACCCTCAAAATGAATCTATTTGCACAAAATCAGTAGAACCTACATCAGAGTCGATATTTTCAGAAAACTTTAAACATGATAGTGGGCCAGAAAATAAGGGTTTATCATTTCCCATTTATACCTCAGTTGCTCAACCTATTGCATTTGACAGCAAGATAAAAACTCTTGACTTTACAAACAACCTTGCTATTTCAGGATTTTCATCTGCTAGGAATGCCCCATCATTTGAAAGCTTTGTAACTGAAAATGATTTTAATGGTCAAGAAAAATTTGACTTAATGAGTGAGCCAGAGCCAAAAGGATATAATCCTTTTGAGAGTAATATTGATGATATTACATTAATTTCTCGATCTGACATGTTCCCTAATTCCACAAGTAAATTTCCAGAAGAGTCTTCTGTATCACTGACTCAAACTGGAAGTCCTACATTATCTTCCCTTAGTGTTGATGCCTTTGAGTTTGGAGAGAGTAGTGAGAATGAAGCTTATGATGAAAATAAATCAGAAAGTCTTCATAGTTTTTATGGAAGTGATGCTAGAACTGAAACTTATGAAAATAAGATTAAGTCTAATGAGATGGCTTTCCATAATCCACATTCACAAGCAGTTGAAAATAATAGTTTAGAGAGTCGTTCAGAAGCAATGTTGTTTGTAATTGAACCGGATATGCACCATGGGATACAAGACAGTACTGATTACAGTCAGAGGGATGTAACTGAACTATCTGCATCTGTATTTGAAAGACCTTCCTTAACTGGAAAAGCTATTAGTCATAAAGATGTGCAAAATGTGGTACACGATTTACCTTTAGCTTCTCAGAACATTTTTCAAGACAGCTATCAGGCAAATAACATAAAGTCTACACCATTCGATAATACCTCTCAGTTTCCTGATCCATTCCAACACACTTCTTTTGATAAGAGTAATTCTGAGGGTACTGCTGATTCATTCCTATATGATAGTTCAAAACCACTGACAAATGTTACTGTCTCCAGGATTAAAAGTGACTATTTTGGGATGTCTCCTCCGATTAACATTGACTATCAAACTAAATCTAGTAGCCTTACAGAGGAAAACAGCAGTACTCTTATGAATTGCAACACTTCAGGTGTTAATGGAGGACAAACAAGCAGGAGCAGTAATCCTTTTGATAGTAGTTATGATAATGAAAGCAGTCACATCCCTGAACAAAATGTTTCTGAAAGCAGTGGTTATGGTTTTCCTACTGAGACTATCAGTACCCTTCAATCTATCACCCATCCTTCAATAGATAATTTAAACAGTCCTCGAGCTTTCAATGGCATGAATTCTCAGTCTCCTAATTCTTCAGTTCTGTAAATGAATTGGCTTCTCAAGCACTATAAAAAGTAGAGATTGATTATGCACATTTCAACTTACTCTTCAGGGATATTGGGTTAATTATATTATAAAGGGTTAAATGGTAGCTACCACTTCCCTACATTTCATGTTGCACTTTTCATATTACTAGGTCTGACTGCATGGGTGGTGGTTCTTACAGGTGCGGTTGACTCTATGACAATGTCCATGTTTGGCTCCCTCAATGGCATGAATGGCAAGAGTTCAGGGACACCATCTCCTACCAAGCCTGAAGTGCCCCTTCTGTCTTCTGATCCAGTCAAGGATGTGTGCGCTCCTGAATCAAAGCCTGTCAGTGTTCGTAACATCCCTGGCACTAATCTAAGGTGCCTTGATGATCCTTCATTTATGTTTGACCAGCCCTCTCCACCTACTACCAATTCTCCTAAATCTGGAACATACAAAGTTCTGGAAGCTCCAGTGGAGCCTCAGCAGTCCAAGAGTGGAGGCTATCGTGTATTAGAAGCCCCAGAAGCCCCTTCAGATATTAAGGATCTTCCTGACCAGTCTCCCACTAAACCAGAGGCCCCAATCAAACCATCTCCATACAGGGTACTTGAGGCACCTATTGATACCCCTGCTAGGTCTAAAGGCTCACCATATCGTGTACTTGAGGCACCTGATGCCCCTTACTATCCCCAAACTCAAAGCGTTGGTGAAGTTCAAGAGTCAAAACCCCCATCTCTAGTCTCTCCGGCTTCTGGTAGGACGGTATCTGATGCACTTGATAAAGCTCGCACTCGTTTTGATTCCTTCTGGGGGGGACCAAAAGATAAAGATCCCCCAAGCAAAGTCTAGGTGCCCAAATTCTTTAGCCATATTCTAATTACAATTGAGGTATTCATGAAGATGGATTACTTTTTATCCAAAGTACTATCCTAAGTTATTGGCAGTAGTATCTATTTTGTAATGCATCTTCATGGGTATTTTAAACTTCCAAAGATGAGCTGTTAGGACAATTACTTGCAAATTTTGAAGATACGAGTTACTGCCAACTTTAATGGTCTCACGTTGATTGCGAGACCATAGATAACAGCACATCTGAGGTATAATCAATTGAGAAAACCCACAGGTTGTCAATTCAGCCAGATGTTTAATCGCAATACTCATACTATTTTTGTTAGTTGTCATAGATGCTATTTAACTCTCTCCAGACTTCACTCAAGGCTACGCAGTACTGTATAGTATTTCCTGTGGGTTTTTCTAATACGAAGCACTTGCTAGTAGGCTAAGAATGTGAGATTGTTTATAATATGACCTATAAGGTAAACTTTAGTTTCTATGTTTAGCTTTTATTGAAAATGTGAGAATGAGAGGCAAGCCAGAGTTATGATGTTTGCAGGGAATGCCAAGTCAGACCAGAGATTCACACATCTACATACATGAATGTTGAATACTCTAATGTTATTATTCAGATGACACCTCTCTATTATCCTGATCTATAACATAACTTCTCTTATTACACCCCACATAGTTTAGGAGTGTACCCTTTATCCAGATTTTTTTTTATAATCATAAAAAGCTTGTAACTATAATACACAGCATTTTATTTATACTGAATGAACAAATTGGTTCTGACAGGCATTGTTTCCATTTCATATTTTACATGAAATTTAATTTAAGCATTGCTTCACATTACTTGTGAAGAAATTAAATTATAAAGTTGTTTAATGAGTTGTTTAGATACAAATTTGTAATTTATTAAAATATATATATAAAATAATCTTACTTCAAGCAGTTATAGGTAAATTTCAGATTAATATTTGATAACCCATATTCATTGGTACTGCTCATAAGCTAATTTTAGTTACCATTGGCAAGGAATCTAAGTAAAACTAGGGGATGTTTATCTATCGAGTTAGTGGATCATGAGTTGCAAATATGGAGCAGAGTAATTCTCTGGTAATGGAACTTGCCTTCCTTTGATAAAGTGAATAGCTTTTTACTTGAATAAGAAAACACGTGATCACAAGCAGGAACTTCGGTCAAACTTGGCATTTCATCCCAGCCTTAATTCTTATGCCTATACACAATTCATTAGGAATCTTGAGGTAGTGATCCTTGGGTCTCATTTATAAGGCATCATACAGGGAAACAATGGTGCGATATTTAAGCACGTTATGAATTATTCTTGATTATTCAGTCTGTCATATTTTCCCATTGTGTATTTTTTTTTTTTCAATAACTTACTGTACATCATTTATTTTTCTTAAAATCATACCAAAGAAAAATATTACAGACTATTAGGTGTTAATAAGGTGATACAAGAACTCTTGTTCCCCCCCTCTGAAAACTGCCAATGGTTTGAGCATATAGTTTTGAATGGTAAAGCTGTTTATATTGTTATAATTAGTATAGTGTTGGCTAATCATTGTACTGGGCTGATTGGTTTCTGGCAAAGTTCACCATTACTGTTTGTCCCATGGTGAGGATTATTTAGACAATTTCATTACAGCTTATTTTTGTATTATTTTGAGGTTTCCTCATCTTACATAACATTCCAACAAATGTTAAGAAGTATTGTATAGCTAAGTTATGACATTAAATATTTGATTTCCATAAATATTTTTGTATTGTGCTCTGCTCAGGTCAGCAATATTGACTTTGGGTTAACATCAAACTATAAATACTTTTATTTGAAATTGATAAAAAATATAATTTTAGAGATTTGATGTACCAAAAATTTCAAAATTGCTGATTTATGACATTAGCTGTGATTTTTTTTTTCTTCCTTTTAAGGTGAAAGGGCTGTCAGCTTTTTGGAAATCCCAATGAAGACTAAATTACTCTTCAGACATCACATTTAGTTCTGTCCTTTTCTATAGTTTCAAAAGAGCATCTTCAGTTTCTAAAGTTGAAGAAATGCTTTGTTGAAATAATCACATTACTCATTGATATTTGAGTTTACCCACCAATTTTTTTACAATTCTTAATGATTCAGAAAGTTGCAAGTTAATTAGTCTTCACTAAGGGTCAAAAAATGCTGCTGTAGTTATGACTGTCACCATGGGGCGTCACTACTCTCCATCACAGATGCCGTTAATGCTTCTAGTCAAAATTTCTCGCATAAGTTTACAGGTGTCGGCGTCTGATACTGCTTACCCCCACACTCGTTTATGGTGACATTCTTAGCAGCAAGACATACATTAGTTATTTAGGACAAATTTTCTAACCTGATATGACAGTGGGGAAGTACTTAAATTAAGAGTCCCTGTGGTTATTAAACTGATTGAGGGAATAAATTTATTAATTTGGCAGCTAAATGTTCATCATGTCTTGTAAGAATCCTTTCATAGAAAGTAAAAATGATTCATTCTTAGGTTTCAGATTTAGTGAATGTCATATAAGGTTTGAGAAACTTCAAATCTAAAGGAGTTGAGAGGTGAGCATCATCATGACTGGACCCTCTAAGTTGTGAATCTGATCTTGCTGTATGTACCTATAGCACAGAACTTACATTAAATGTACAGCTTCATTGTTTGTTTTATAACCTTAATGTTAAAAGTAACATCTTCATAAATTGTGTAAAAATAAAATGAATAAACTCTCATTAACTTGAGTTTATATCTTGCATGGTAAACTCAAATTTGTTAGTATCCATTGATTGGCCACAAATATTATAAAATTTAGTTATAAACCCAAAAGGGTCAGTGCTGCTATTGGCTACAGATAAAAAAAATACTTGAAAGGTGTAGATTGAATTTTTATATTTCAACTGCTGTCAGGCACATGCCTGTATATCATTTCAATTTTATTCTAATTTAATGTACTTGGCTGTCCCCCTCTTGTAATATTTTATTGAAATACTATCTTGGATCGTATTTTTCTTAAAATATCATCCATTCTACCTCTTTCCCCATTTCCCTATGAATGACCTAGAATGAAATGTAAAATACTGTCAATGATATGACTGCTTTTCCAAATGGGTGCTTCAGATGAATGTACAGCTTGCAGCCATATTTCACCTCAATACTGGTAGGCGACAGCCAAGGATCAGACCTGTCATACAGTATTCATTCTAACATGCAACCACCTCACAGGTCAAGAAGCAACTGGATCCAACTGTCAGGTATCAGTCATGAACTCACAATGAAGTATAGGTGTATTGAACATCACGGATGTTTGGCTATGCTGAAGACAAAAGTTGCATCAACAACATGAATGAGTTTACTGAGGATAACTTGCCTGCTGAGAAACTGTGCACCCTGGCATGACATAGGCCAAATGCAAACAAGGCTATTATTTCAACGATGAAACATGATCAATAACCAGGGTTTCCCGTGTTAGTGAATCTTTTGGTTGCATAATGCATTTGGGGAGGGGCTCAAGAAACTTCCAGCTGATGTCAGCTCCTCTAGGATGACTACTTTCTCACTTGTGTTCTAAGGAGTACAGGTCAAGGGGTTTCTTAAATACGGTAGGCGAGGGAGATGTAGCTTGGATATCTAGGCACTCTTTAAAATGGAGCAATTATTATAATAAAAAAGAAGCGCTAAACCACAAGGGCTATACAGTGCTGCTGGGCAGGAAGGAAGCGAGGGTATCTGGTGGCAAAAGGGAGATGGACGAGTAATAGGTTACGGAGAACAGCGGGGCAGTGGATGGTGAAAGGGTAGAGGGCAGCAAGAGATTGAGGTAGGAAGGGCTGAGGGGAGTGCGAAAGGTATCATCATCCGAGTTTGTGGAGTAAATCAGTCGTTGTCATAAAGTCAATGAGAGAGTCAGGATTAAAGGAGGGTCCATCAGCAAGAAGGGAAGGTAAAGAGAGTAGTAGAGCGGAGATGACATTGGAGGTAAATTCTGCGTGCTTGTTGATAGAGAGGGCAGTCTAACAGAACGTGGCTAACCGATACTGGAACCTGACACTTCTCAGAGAGAGGAACAGGGCGCCTCTCCATGAGACACCCACGAGTAAGACAAGTGTGGCCAATGCGAAGACGGGAGAGAGTAGTCTCCCAACCTCGACACTGATGACAAGAAGACGGCCAGTTACCTATACTCGGTTTAATAGACTGAAGTTTGTTACCGAGCAGATTAGACCAACATTGTTGCCAACGCGTGTGAAGGTGGGTAGCTATTACAGCAAAATAGTCCGTAAATGGAACACCTCTATATGAAACTCGTAGGTCGTGTACTACTGACCGCACAGCAGTGTCTGCCTGTTCAGTGCTCTGTACGTCAACATGACCAGGGACCCAACAAAAAACAATATCTTCATGCTTGGTAGAGATGCAGCATAGCCAAAGTTGGATACGGAGAATTAGGGGGTGAGGTGCATCAAATTTTCGTATAGCCTGTAGAGCACTAAGGGAGTCTGAGAGAACCACAGATGATGAGACAGGCATAGATGCAATTCGGATAAGTGCTGCAAGAATGGCATACAATTCAGCAGTAAAAATGCTAGCCGAAGATAGTAAATGCCCTCGCGTGACGCTGTCCGGAAACACTGCTGCAAATCCGATGCCGTCAGAAGACTTAGAGCCACCTGTGTACACTGCAATGGCATGAGAATGAGAGTGGAAGTGGTCAAGAAAAAGAGCAGGAAGCTATCATAGGCAGTTGGGCTTTCGAGCAAGGGAGTGAGAAAGAACAGACTCGAACAGCTGGAACTTCCCAGGGGGGTAGGGAAAAGTGAGATGCTACATAAACAGAAAGGTGGTAACTGAAGGGAAGACGAGCGAATGTAGGCGAAGAGAGAAGGGACGGAGCAAACAGGGACAGCGAACAAATAAAGAATGTCTACTAATATCAGTGACCATTCTATAAATGGAAGGATTGCGGAGATCATGAGAGCGTACATAGTAACGAAGGCAATGGGCATCACGGCAATCGGACAAGGATGGAACATTCGCTTCTGTATAGAGGCTCTCAACAGGGGAAGAGCGAAAAGCACCTAATCCTTGGTGATGGATGGGGTTAAGGCTGGAGAGAGTAGCAGGAGAGGCCGCTGAATAGATCTGGTCACCATAATCGAGTTTCGACAAAATGAAGGCTGAATGTAGGTGAAGGAGAGTTCGACGATCAGCTCCCCATCACGGCAATCGGACAAGGATGGAACATTCGCTTCTGTATAGAAGCTCTCAACTGGGGAAGAGCGAAAAGCACCTAATCCTTGGTGATGGATGGGGTTAAGGCTAGAGAGAGTAGCAGGAGAGGCCGCTGAATAGATCTGGTCACCATAATCGAGTTTCGACAAAATGAAGGCTGAATGTAGGTGAAGGAGAGTTCGACGATCAGCTCCCCAGGAAAGATAAGCAAGGGTTTTAAGAAGGTTCAGCCGGCTGTGACAAGTTGCCTTCTGAGAGGTAATGTGAGGTTTCCAGGATAACCTATGGTCAAAGAGAAGGCCTAGAAACCTGACTATCACGTTCAGGGATACGGGAGCCATAGAGGTACAAAGGATGATCGGAGATGACAGAGCGTCTAGTGAAAGTAATTTGAAGAGTTTTGGTACTGGAAAATTTAAACCCATGTGTGGTGGCCCAATTGGAAACACGGTTGACCGCATGCTGGAGAGAAACTGTAATGAGGTGGCAGTCAGCGCCTGCACAAGCAATAGCGAAGTCATCAACAGAGGGATGACCAAATATTGGATGGAAGACTCGAGGCCAGATCATTTATAGCAAGGAGAAAAAAGTGTTATACTCAGAACACATCCCTGGGGAACACCTTCAGCTTGGACAGAGTCTGGGGAGAGCACATTATTAACCCAAACACAGAAATGTCTGTCAGTTAAAAAGTTCTTAAGGAAGGATGGTAGATTGCCTCGGAGGCCTAAGGAGTGGGCTTGGGCCAAAATAATATACCTCCAAGTTGTGTCACATGCCTTCTCAAGGTCAAAAAATATGGCAATAACCGAGTGGTTATTCGCAAAGGCATTACGAACATACGTATCCAAGCGTAGTAAGGGGTCTATGGTAGAACGGCCCTTACGAAAGCCATATTGACTAGTGGAGAGACTGTCGTGTGTCTCTAAATACATTAAACGTCGATTTACCAGACGTTCCATCACTTTGCAAACTGCACTGGTAAGAGCAATGGGACGATAGTGGGAGGCATTATGTCCCTTAGTACCCGGTTTGCGGAAAGGGAAAACAATGGCAGATTTCAACAGCTGGGGAAGAACTCCTTGTGACCAAATAAGATTGAAGAGGTGTAAGAGGACTGCAAGGGCTGACTGATTTATATGTTATAACATCCGAATATGAATGTCGTCAGACCCAGCTGCCGATGATCGGCAAGCTGAGTGTGTTGCCTCCAGTTCCTGAAGTGTAAAAGGCACATTATACTGTTCTTCTCTGAGAGAATAAAAGTCCAAGGGTGCTAACTCTCTGGCAGACTTTGAGGAAAAAAACGAGGGGCATAGATGGAGCCCCCGAGAAATACGGACTAGATGAGTGCCAATTTCAATGGCAATGTCAAGAGGGTTTGCTATATCAACATCGGCAAGCCATAGAACAGGAGCTGGGTCAGGAGAGTATTTACCACTCAATTTTCTCACTTTTTTCCAGACTGCACTCAGAGGAAGCAGAGGTGATGGTGGAAACAACCTCGACAGCAAGTGCGTGTAGCGTCACGAATGAGAAGCTGCGGTTAAAACTGACGTCGAGAAGAGGTGTAGGAGCTCATCAATGGAGGATGAAGAAGGAACCTCACTAAAAGCAATGAGTTGCTTAAAATGGAGCAAGAAAACTAACAGAAGCTCTAGTCTGAGATGAACATTTATTGTCGTCAGTTCCAACAATACACTAATAAAAAAAAAATTATCTCTTGCTCGGTGGTAGGTTTGACATCACAAAGCAACTGGGCTAAATTCCCAGGAGGATCCGACGGCCTACTTACAAGTTCCCTTACTGATTCGCCTAGTAGCTAATAAGTACCTAATAGTAGCCTGACATGGGTTCTATCCTAGGGAAAGATACCAATGGAAATTTGCCATACTACTTTCCTTTAACTTCTATAGCTTTTACCAGTTCTAAATAATAATTTTAATCATTTGCACACTACCCATTGAAGCTCATCACTTGATCACCCAGATTAAAATTTAAACGTGTAATGCAGTATAAAGAAACAAAGTTAAAAACTTTATTTTTAAACAAATATTGTACAGAGGAAATGCAAGAGCTCATTTGTTATTAATGGTATAGAGTAGAGGTAGAGTTTTTCTATAGCATCACAACAGATAAGGAAGATGCAATGTCGAGTATACATTAGCTTAATAATGTTAATGTTTAATTTCAGTATTAAAACATTGTACTAAGTAACTGTGTGGCATAAGGAAATGCATCGTTATAACCACTTTATAAACATTTTGGCAAAACATACATTAACGTAAACCTTTCTTGGTACATACGTTTAGTCATACTATTGGCAGACAAAAAAAAAAAGTCACTATCTTGAGGCAGGATAGCAAGAGAAGAAGCTACTGCATTCTCAAAGAATATTTACACAGATACAAACAAAAAAAAAAATTGGGTTAATCTTGGAAACAGTGACTTAAAGAACACCACAATATGGCAAGTTTCATCCCAATCAATTTAAATTATTTTGGTTTAAATAAAAGCTAAAAACAGAATGGCTAATGTTAACTATTTTATGCAGCTATTTTACATGAGACTTGTTTTCATAGATTCAAACATTTTTCTCTACCTATCCATTAGTTATAGCTGTACCACCTCTATTTTCCATATTCATTAATGATGATCCTGATACTTTATTTAAAGCACAGGAATTTAATGAATTATCTTTGAAATAAATAAAACTCCATCAGAACATTGGAACCATCCTATTCAATTATAGGATTTTATTTAAGACAATGTTAAACAAAAACTGTAAAAATTTATTTATATATATATATATATATATAATATATATATATATACAGTGGACCCCCGCATAACGATCACCTCCGAATGCGACCAATTATTTAAGTGTATTTATGTAAGTGCGTTTGTACGTGTATGTTTGGGGGTCTGAAATGGACTAATCTACTTCACAATATTCCTTATGGGAACAAATTTGGTCAGTACTGGCACCTGAACATACTTCTGGAGTGAAAAAATATCATTAACCGGGGGTCCACTGTATATATATACATATATATATATACACACACACACACATGCATACATTATATATACATGCATATATATGACAATACAAAACTACACCCATATACACATAAAAATTGATATGTAAAAATAATTCAAAACCTACTGTATATACTAATGAAAGTCCATTAATCTAAATGGTAATGTGTTGAGTATTACCTGTTTCTCCTATCTACAGAAGTCAAGAGTTTTACAAAATATTCACATCTAAGCTTGGGTTATCATTAAGATAAACATGACAAAGTTCATCACCTGAAGATCTGGCCCTCCTCCTCCTCCTCCCCCCCCCCCCAAAAAAAAAAAAAAAAAAAAAAATTTTTTTTTTTTTTTGCAAGAATAGGTTGTCTGTTTTGGTGCAAAAATAATCAATAAATATATATTTAATTAAATAAAATTCATCTCATCAAGGAGGAGGTATGGAGGAGGAAACAAATATTCAGGTAATGCAAATTCTCATTGCATGAACTTGGATAACATTTGTATACTACCCACACTAATCTTTAATAGTATACAATTTTGAGGGCAAATAAATATAAAGCCTAACATACATGTAACAAATATTTAGTCCATCACGATACAATGTTGCGGGTAGTCTTCGTAACGTATACATATCAGTTTTCTACAAATGCTGAATGGCATTTTTTATATCTCAAATCCATACAGTAACATACTAATACATTTAACTGTAAACATTATAACTGCAACCATTAACAGTTGTGTACTATGCTTAAATCAGTACTAGGCATTAATTTATATTGATAGAAAACTTATGACAGCTTAAAAGATTTGATTTAATAAAAACCCCATCTATGAACTTATTTTAAGCCAACTACTTTCACCATAATCTGCACTTAGGAGAGGATCTTCACAATATTTCGGTCTCCCCTGAACCACTGTCAAGTCTCAAATGGGGTGAGCAAATTAGTGAAAAAATTAAGACTGTGGTAGTAAGCAGCACAATGAGGAGTCATGTTGGTGAACATAGAATTAGCAGTACAGTGGACCCCCGGTTTTCGGCTGGTGCGGAAATCGTACAATTTGGATTTCGAGCGATTTCAGCGAAATCCCCCCCACCTATTTCATACATCCACTCCTCTGAAATCGATGGTATCAGACATGTGCGCGTGGGCCACTCATACGTTCGTGACTCACATGCAATGTTTATATGTGGTGGAGGGTACACATTACGTTTTCTCTGGTCCAGCAGTAGAGAACACCATATGAATCTGCGTTGGCCCAGTAACCACCCTTAATACATAAGCTTTCGTTTACAATTCTCGGCATGAATTATTCATTACTTCTCCTTTTGTTTATGATGGCATCTAAAGATAGTTGTTAGAAACGCTTTTGAACTCAATGAACATGGTATGTCTATGATAATAATATGGCTATAGGCCGCAGTGTAAGTAGCTGGTAGGTATACACCAGGGATGTAGTCCGCCTGGGACTATAAATAAATACTACTCACTGACAAGAGTCTTCAACAAAGGTATGTAATGTTCATTTATCATTAAAATTAGTCATTTATTTCTCATTGTCTTCTGTATGTAAAACTATAGTTCTTTCTTTCTTTCAACACACCGGCTGTATCCCATTGAAGTGGGGTAGCCCAAAAGGAGAAACGAAAGTTTCTCCTTTTACATTTAGAAATATATACAGGAGAAGGGGTTACTAGCCCCTTGCCCCTGGCATTTTAGTCGCCTCCTACAACATGCATGGCTTACGGAGGAAGAATTTTGATCCACTTCCCCATGGAGATAACAGGAAATAAACAAGAACTAGTAAGAAAATAGAAGAAAACCCAGTGGGGTGTGTGTATATATATATACAGTGGATCCCCGCATAACGATTACCTCCGAATGCGACCAATTATGTAAGTGCGTTTGTACGTGTATGTTTGGGGGTCTGAAATGGACTAATCTACTTCACAATATTCCTTATGGGAACAAATTCGGTCAGTACTGGCACCTGAACATACTTCTGGAGTGAAAAAATATCGTTAACCGGGGGTCCACTGTATATATGCTTGCACATGTATGTGTAGTGCGACCTACGTGTAAGAAGTAGCAAGACGTACCTGAAATCTTGCATGTTTATGAGACAGAAAAAAGACCCAAGCAATCCTACCATCATGTAAAACAATTACAGGTTTCCGTTTTACGCTCACTTGGCAGGATGGTAATACCTCCCTGGGTGGTTGCTGTCTACCAACCTACTACACCTAGGAAAACTATAGTTATTCTCCATAAAATGTACTTTTTGTTAATATTTTTGGTTGTCTTGAAATGGATTAACTGGATTTACATTATTTCTTATGGGAAATATTACTTCGGTTTTCGACCATTTCGGATTTTGGCCAACCTTCTGGAACGGATTAATTATGAAAACCGGGGGTCTACTGTAGTAGTAGTAGTAGTAGTACAGTAAATATTGTAACAATAGTAGTAACAGAAATGAGCAGCAGTGATAGAAGTAAAATATAATGTAGTGAATCTGTAGTACAGTAGCAGTAGTAGTACAGAAGTGACTTGACAATGGTCCAGGATAGAACACAGTCATTGTTTCTCTTCTAAGTGCAGGCTTTTGGTGGATTATTCTAGTCACAGTATTGTGACTTTTTATTCTTTAAAGCCATTATAAACCTTTCTCCTCCAATAAAATACAAAAGTCAAACTAGATTTCAGTGTCTAAGAGTGATTCACTAATATCAAAAGTAGAAAACTGCAGATAAGCAATGTATTGATGCCGATATTCTAAGTTAACTGAAAGCCGTTAACAGTGAGTTTACACTCAATGTGTGGGCTAAATGTTCCCGACCAGCCACAAATAAAGTACCTACCTTAATTACTTTTTAATTTGCTGTAAATATAACCTCAATGTGGAAATATCACAAAAAAATATTGACCTGAAGACTAACTGCCTCCTTTTATTATAGGGAAACAGCTGATTAATGTTATGCAGTTTTTAAAATAAAACTGTTATTGTACCAAAACTAATAATAAAAGCCTAATCTTGCTAAAATTTACATTTTAAAAAGCTCAATTTGCTTTGCCTATTTATGAATCTTCATAACTACTATAGTTAATAATTTTCTTGTGGGAGGGGAAGGAGAGGAGGCTAATCATTGGAATACCCACAAAGTTAATTAGGTTGACTCTCTGCATCTCACACTGAGGTCTCTCAGTGTATAAAGACTTTAATCCCTCTTTTTAGGAATAAAGTATTCTTGACTGGTAGTTTACAAGCAGCATGCAGCCTTAATGAAAAATGCATAATAGATACTCTTTAAACCCTATAAACCAACAATCTCAAAAGTAATAGTTACCCTACATTATTTTGTGCAATGGAAACTATCAAGATTAATCATTTCTTGTCCTTAGTTCCAAAATGTAAATATTACTTAATGCAATATTAACAGACCTTGACAACCAAAAATATTCCTGATTGTTATGATACAGTATTTGAATTTTGAAGATAAGTGAATGTGATGATCAGTTGAAATATCATTATGTAAATTATTTTCAATTTTAAATAATTAAGAATTCACAAATAATTTAGAGCCAGTTTAAAGAAGGAATTGGCCTAAGAATCTTTTAACTATAAAAATATATCAACAACACTTATACATAATGCACAAAAGCTTAAAACTAAACCTTAAATGCTAGAGGTGACTAATTAGTTAGCTGATTTCATAGAGCAGGTACTTCTTCATGATTACTGGCAGATCCAGCTCATCAATTCTTAGTGGGATCTTCTCGCCAAGTTCCTGTCGTAGGAAGACACGCACCAAGTGCTTCAGGGGAAGAGGTGACTGGCCAACCTACAAACCATAAAACTCTTCATAAACTAATTTTGTATACAGAGGTCAGGAAAAAAAAAGGATTAAGAAAGCTAGAGGATAAAAGTACAGTGGACCCCCGCATACCGTTGGCCTTACATAACGTTAAATCCGCATACCGCTACATTTTATCACTTAAGATTTTCCCTCGCATACCGCTAAAAAACCCGCTCAATGCTGTTCGGCCAAGACGCGTCTATGTGCGGCCTGAGCCACCCTCACATGTTCCGCCGGTGGCATTGTTTACCAGCCAGCCTCCACGGTAACATCCAAGCATACAATCGGAACATTTCGTATTATTACAGTGTTTTTGGTGATTTTATCTGCAAAATAAGTGACCATGGGCCCCAAGAAAGCTTCTAGTGCCAACCCTACAGCAATAAGGGTGAGAATTACTATAGAGATGAAGAAAAAGATCATTGATAAGTATGAAAGTGGAGTGCGTGTCTCCGTACAGCTGCTGCTGTACCACCGTCAGCTGCTGCTGCTGCACTGTCAGCTGCTGCTGCTGCTGTAGCACTGTCAGCTGCTGCTGTACCACCATCAGCTGCTGCTGTACCACCATCAGCTGCTGCTGCTGCTGTAGCACTGTCAGCTGCTGCTGCTGCTGTAGCACCATCAGCTGCTGCTGCTGCTGCTGCTGTAGTACCATCTGCTGCTGCTGTAGCATCGTCTGCTGCTGCTGTAGCACTGTCAGCTGCTGCTGCTGCTGCTGTAGCATCGTCTGCTGCTGCTGTAGCATCGTCAGCTGCTGCTGCTGCTGTAGTACCATCTGCTGCTGCTGTAGCATCATCTGCTGCTGCTGTAGCACTGTCAGCTGCTGCTGCTGCTGTACCACCGTCAGCTGCTGCTGCTGCTGTAGTACCGTCTGCTGCTGCTGCTGTAGCACCGTTGTTGGTGTGGCTTATTGAGAATACCAAGAAACAATTAACCCCAGAGGATTAGCCACCCAGGATAACCCAAAAAAGTCAGTGTCATTGAAGACTGTCTAACTTATTTCCATTGGGGTCCTTAATCTTGTCTCCCAGGATGCAACCCACACCAGTCCACTAACACCCAGGTGAACAGGGAAAAATGCCTGGAACTAGTGCTCATATTGGTGAATTTAAAGCCAGCAAAGGTTGGTTTGAGAGATTTAAGAATCGTAGTGGCATACACAGTGTGATAAGGCCTGTTCTGGAAGAAAATGCCAAACAGGACCTACAGTACTCAGGAGGAAAAGGCACTCCCAGGACACAGTGTCTCATCAGTCATTGCTGCATCTTCAATAAAGGTAAGTGTCATTTATTCTTCATTTAGTAGAGTAGTACATGCACAATATATACTGTGCATGTATCCTTCTCTTTGTGTGTAGGAAAATGTATATTTCATGTGGTAAAATTTTTTTTTCATACTTTTGGGTGTCTTGCACGGATTAATTTGATTTCCATTATTTCTTATGGGGAAAATTCATTCGCATAACGATAATTTCGCATAACAATGAGCTCTCATGCACGGATTAATATCGTTATGCGGGGGTCCACTGTATAAATAATAAAATGTTTAATGAACTACATCTGCTTCACAACCCTTTTACACTTAGCTCCTGATTATCATAATTTTTAGGAACACAGGACAATATCTCGCAAAAATCAATTGCCTCTGCAGCCCTCACCCCCAGATTTTTTCGACCACCTTATAGTCACTATCTACCCTCTACAATATTAATGTCACTACAATTGGGTAGCTTTAGGTAGAGGTCATTTGGGTAGCTTTAGGTAGAGGTCATTTTGATAAGGACCTGCCTTACATGGGCCAGTAGGCCTTCTGCAGTATTCCTCCATTCTTATTTTCTTCAGTGCAATGGATTATTAGAGGAAACTGGGTATCAGGGAGGTCCAAATCTTGATTTTCAGGTCTTCCCAACAAGTAGTTTCTGCAAGAACCTAAATTACTTAACAGCTGGATTTCTTATCTCTATGTTCTTTTACAATCACTTGATCTTTATTCTGGCAAGTCTTAAAATGGAAGTGAGTTTCTAGTGTACAATGATATTTGCATTCTATTTTCCAATCATACTTCACTTCCCTATATTGCAGTATCTATTGGGACATGTGGTAAATGGTCTATACCTTTTCTCTCTCCATACCTTTTTCTAACAGACATGCAATCCTTCATTGCATCTCACCTATATAGCTCATTTTGCTAGAGATTTCAACTTGTCATCTACTCTGGGAAAGTGGCTTAGCGCTTCTTTTTGATTATAATAATAATAATAATAATACTCTGGGAAAAGTTACATCGACTCTTGCAGATACCAATTTCTCACTCGTCTACTTACCTGGAGAGAGTTTCGGGGGTCAATGCCCCCGTGGTCCGGTCTGGGACCAGGCCTCATGGTGGATCAGGGTCTGATCAACCAGGCTGTTACTGCTGGCCACACTTTAAAAAATTTTCAACTCCAGTGTTTCTGGACCCCTACTCTCTCAGGTACAGATATTTCTATTGGTTCTTCCTCCATAGCACTTTGCTAGGGAGGTGCCTTGCTGCCAATGAAGGGTTTGGTTCTTGATCCTAAGAACTGGAGCTATCCCTCCTTGGATTGAATCTTCTTATTGTCCATTCTCCTGATGCTGTACGATCCTTGTGGGTTGAACATTCACGCCATAAATGTAATAATAATATACAGTAGACCATCAATTAACATTGATTCCTTTACTACATTTTCCATTACACTATTGCAGCATACTTTTGATTAACACCCTGTAAAGTTCAACAAACATGGTTCCACTTCTGGGCAGGGGAAAAAAGTTGAGTACCACTCCAGGTGGTGAAGGATTTTTCCCCTGTGTAGTTGGATCTTGGGTAGCCAGTCTGATTCAGTCCAGTCTTTGCAGTGAAGGCCTAGCTTCCTTACCTGCCACCCCAGTCCAAGTGTTCAGTACATACACATCCCATACAATAATTAGGTCTATTTGTGAATTGACCAACTTGACTGACCTGACTTACTGATTGGATTAGACTGACCTACTGACTTGATTACCATCCACCTCAGCTGACAAGAACCATCCACCTCCGCCCAATAGGGCCACGGCATTCCTCTCCACTCCCTTCACAATCGACAAACACCAGCAACCTCATATTAAGGTAAGAATTATTATTTCTGTTCCATTTGTACCCTTAACCAACAGAAAAAACATAATACATAATGACAATGACCAACAATTTCAGTATTGTTTTTATTTTCACAAGATTTGGAGAGAAAAAAAAAGAAGTCTGGCTTTTTTTTTTGGGGGGGGGGGGGGGGGAGTCCCAGGAACATGACCCTATTTTTCCCAGAAGTTCTTCAGTTCGTTTAACATGGATTCGTCTAACACTGCATTTTCAGGAACGTATCTTCTGTGGTAATCAACAGTCTACTGTATTGTAATAATTTACTGCAGTGATCATTTATTTTCTATTCTCACACCTTCCACTCCTGGTGGGAATTTCAGTATACCAATTAAGTTCCTTAGGTCTGGGTTGGCATAAATGAACACTTAAAAATCCAGCCCACCTGAGATTAAAAAAAATGCATAAAAAAAAAAAAAAGGGGGGGGGGCAAAAATGGGGAAAACTGAGGTTTTTGGGGAAAATATCTTATTGTAAAATAACCTAATAGACTACTAATAGACAAACCTGCAAAAAAATAATGGCAGCTTATGGAAAGTCCTACTTCAATTACTTCAAAATAAAATCAAAACTATTTCTTTGCTAAGGTTATAATGTGTGTTTACATTTCATAATTTGATTGGTACAAAGAACGTCACTATCATGCCGAGGCATTTCAGGTAGACTTAACCTAGACTTCACCTGTCTACACTTAAGGACTATCTAAGTCTAGACAGGTGAAGAGTGGTAGATTACAAATATTCAATATTTTACTCTATTATTAATATGAGGTAGTACAATTTATGACACAAACATACATTTTTAAGTTTGGCTTAATAGTTAAGGGATAATAAAATATTCGGGGGAGTTGCTTTAAATTCGGTTAGAGTTTAGCATAGTGTGGGTATGGTCGTTATTGAGAGATGTGGTGATTTTTGAGTATAGTCCTAAATTGATTTGTGGGCAGGGGACCTCTTGCTGCTTTTGGTAAAGAGTTCCAGATCTTCAGGCCCTTTATGTGTACTGCATTTTTTGCATAGTATGCGATGGACACGAGGGATGTCAAAAAGTGTTTGTGCCTCGTGTTATGCCTATGTGTTCTGTTGAAGCTGTTTAGGAAACGTTTGAGTGGAGGACTGATATTGGAGTTTAATGTTCTGTATATATAGTAGGCACAATAATAAGTGTGTATATTTTGTATATTAAGTAAGTTCAAGCTTTTGAAGAGTGGTGGGGTGTGTTGTCTGGCACAGGAGTTTGTGATCATCCTCACTGCCACTTTTTGTTGGGTTATTATAAGTTTAAGGTGATTGGCCGTGGTAGATCCCCAAGCACAAATACGATAGGTGAGGTAAGGGTATATTAGAGAGTGATATAAAGTAAGGAGCACCCTTTGGGGTACATAGTATTGTATCATGGAAAGGATATCTACTGTTTTGGAAACTTTCTTACTTATATGCTGGATGTGGGTCTGAAATTTAAGATTACAGTCAAGGTGGAGACCTAGAAATCTGCCCTCAGTGTGCCTTGTAATGGGGGAACCATTTATCGATATGTTTAGCTGGATATTTAATGCTATGTTTCCAAAAAAGAATGAAGTAGGTTTTGATATATTAAGAGTAAGTTTATTGGTTGTCATCCAGCTTGATATTTTAAGTAGCTCACCATTTAGTGTTACTAAGTATAGCCAGGTTTGGGTGGGAGAAGACGTACATGGTGTCATCTACGAATAGAACTAGTTTAAGGAGTCGCTATGCCTTTGTGAGGTCATCGATGTACATAAAAAGAGAGTAGAGGACCTAGGACACTTTCCTGTGGCACTCCAACAACTACAGGCTGAGTATTGGAGGTCA